TCGTTATGCTACGAAATCCCCCGAAAATTCACGAAATGTTGCCATATTTTTATATGTTGATATATTGACGCGGTATCGATCTATTTTACTAACAAAATCTCACAAGAATTTGCAAAATATCACGAGAGTTTGTAACAGAACGATGAAATTTCACCAGATTTTGAAAGTAAAATAGATCGATACCGCGTTTTAAAAAATCTATTTGATATCAGCATATGAAAATATATTTGAGTATATTATTTTTCAAAGTGTCAGAAATGGATGACAAAACTGCTATTTTCAATGACTACTTATTTTTGTCCAGCTTTAACATCGGTATCGATATCGGTTATCGGCTACATGAGTTTTAAAATATCGGCATATCGGATATCGGCCAAAATCCCAATATCGTGCATCCCTAGTACCTTTCTAAATAAAATGTGTTATTATTATAATTTACTAAAATGAATGGAAATCATGTCGTAACAGATTTCCTGATATCGGCAAATATCATAAATTTTATTTAAAAAGTGTGTAAATGAGGTGATTTACACCCAGGCGTCATGACTTCCATTGATGGCACTAGTACATATGAATAACAGAGAAAAGTCAAGCAAAGAGCCACAACATAGTTGCTAGATGTATTAAACCAGGCAGGCCCAAAGTCGGTCCCTGAGGGCCACTGTCCTGCAGGTTTCTCTGCTTCAGCATAGCTGATTTATATTGGTAGTTTATTGACAGGCTTTTGCTGAACTGTAATAAACAGAATCAGAAACTTTTGCTCAGTTTGAATTCAGTGGCTGCATCCTCTGAAGGCCAGATTCGTCGGCCGATGACGTCATAGTGCAATTCGGAGGCCCGTTTGATTTAAAAGACTCCTTATTATGCACCCGAAAAATGCGTCCTTCTTTTTGCCCGTTTTGAAGGATGGGTCTGCTGTATCCTCCGTAGCCTTGGATATCCCATGATTCATTGCGAATCAAAGCAAGTCGGCTGCTCCTTGCTCAGATGAAAAAGAGTAATGGCGCCAAACAGCCAGTATTGGAAGTGCAGTTTAATATATTCCAAGTATGTGAACATTACCGTATGAAATGAATGAAAATAAGTTTTATCTGTCCCTTTGCAAACAGGTTTGTCTGACTTTTAGCTCAGATTCCAATATCTCTGCATTTCAATCTCTAACGTTCTGCTCTCTCTGCTTTTTCTCATAGTAGCTTCATCTGGTCTGTTCCTGTTTGGCTGTGACTCCATCCTGGAGAGAAATATCAGCTGTGCTGCTGCCATCAACACCTTTGTTTCTAGATGTTGGAGCTTGGCCTGTTTTCCAGTGTAGTCCTGTTTCTCTGACTGTGACTAACTGGATGTGCTCTCTTCATCCTCTGACATGGGAGCTGGCTCGGAGCTCGTCTGCCTGGCTGTGTGTTTCCTGGACGGGGCCGCCTGTGGAGCTGGTTGACAGTTGCCTTTTGTATCTATGCTTCTTTTTCTATGTCTGCTTCTGTCTCCTTGAACCCCAGTGGGCCTCAGCAGATGGCCGCTCACACTGAGCCTGGTTCTGCTGGAGGTTTCTTCCTGTTCAAAGGGAGTTTTTCCTCTCCACTGTCGCTAAAAGCATGCTTAGTGTGAGGGATTGCTGAAGAGTCAATGAGTCGATGCAATCAGCTGGTTTTCCTTAGAAAGAAAACTTTTAAATCTGACTGGATGATCTGGTGAACTGGTTCTGGAAAAAAAGCCTTGAGATGACGTGATGTGAATCGGTGCTATAGAAATAAACTGAATTGAATTGAATATTTCCTAAACATTGCTGGTAGACTTAGGAAATTAATATCAAAATAATCTGCTTCCTCATTAAATGCCATAAACAGAGGGTCTAATCTCTTAGGCTGGAAATTACAGTTTTCACCTGCGGCTTGAATCAGGAAGTGAGACTGTTTGACCAAAAACTGACTGTTCAAAGGGAGTTTTTCCTCTCCACTGTCACTACAAGCATGCTTAGTGTGAGGGATTGCTGAAGAGTCAATGAGTCGATGCAATCAGCTGGTTTTCCTTAGATAGAAAAATCTGAGTGCCTTGAGCTGACATGATGTGAATTGGAGCAATAGAAATAAATTGAATTGAAATTCAAAATGATGGCACTGCTGCTGAAGCTCCTTGAAAGTGTTATTAGCATCTAGAACAGTAGTGAGAAGTTCGCTATCCACTGCTTTGTGCAGCAACTGCCACGGTGGGTAGAGCTGTAGGGACGGGAGGTGTGAGGAGGCTGGTGGAGGGAGGTTCTGACCCGGCACGGCCCTGCCTGAGCTGCTGCTGCCTCTGTAATTAGCGCTGTCACATCGGTGTCCTTCACACCCAGTGGGCAGCTGGAGCGAGAGAGACGAGCTGATCGATGGGCCCCGAACACCCCCCACCTCGCATCATATGGAAATAATCCCACTGGTGCATAAAGTCGTGCACGAGACCTTGCTGTCATGTGCCCTGCCAGCATGGATGTGTTTCTGAACATCCGGATGAGTCAAAACATGTTAATTAAAAATGTCGGTCACCCAAACCTTCAGCTTTTCTATTACTGGGTGAAAAAGTTTTACATTTTCTACGGCAGCCTGGTGAATTTCAATGATGAGGAGAGGAAGGATCCCATTAACTTCTCTGAAGATGACTCAAGCTCTTTACAATAAATCAGACAGAAAAGAGGAAGTCCTGGATCGGCGCCGTCATCCATAAAAAGCAGGAGCTATTTCTTTTATTATCTTTAACCAGAGATCATCATCAAAACTTAACTGAATACTGTATGTTCAGCAGTTATTCTAATTCATCCATTGCAGCGAAGCAGAGAAAACTAAGCATGATATGATGATAATGTCACAAATAGAAAACATCAGCTTACAGAAATGTTCCCACTCTAGGTATTATAGGTCTTGTTCATAGAGGATTTCTCAAAACAAACATTTAAAGGGACAGTAACTATTTTTTCTAAGTGAGATTTCCTGTCATCAGATGTTAGATCACAGCGTCTTTATAGAAAAGTTAACTAACTATTTAATAAGTCACACAGACTCACTATACAGTAAAAACCCAAGTGTTACTTTAACACCTATAGAGTTCAATATTAGTCTGTTAGTGTAAAATTTACTTTATATTCAGTGTCAACATTTCTGAGTTCATTTGACTCATTTTAAGGCCACAATCAGAAAGACCTCAGAGATTGGTGTGTAATCCACACCATATAAACTAAAAGTTACACTGCATGGGTGTCAAATTTATCACTATCAACTCCAACACTTGAGCAGATTTACACTCAGTATAGTTATAAATAATCTGGAGTAAAAGAGGTTGACTTAAATAAGAAGTTGGTACGATGAGAAGGTTGGTTACTGACGACTGTATCAGCTGATTTCACCAGATCCTCTGATCAAGATTAGGCCAGAATAACTTTTTACTATATATACTATTTTTAAACATCTTTCATAAAATCTAAAGGTTGAATTTACCGCAGCTACAGACAGAGTTTCTGCTCATCTGGAGGACAGATGAAACCCGTAACGGCGTGTTACGGCCATTCAGACGAATAAAATAAAAGTGTAACTTAAATTTTTTAGTATAAACTGGCCTTTCTATGAGGATAACACGCAAATCTACGAGATTATAAACATGCAAACTTAGAAGGAAACAAAATGCAAATGTTTCAGAATGAATAGGGAAATTTACATGAAAAAACATGCATATTTACGAGGTTATAAAGATGCGAATTTAGAAGAAAAAAGCAGAAAATTTACTAGACTAAAAAACCAAATGTACAGAAAAAAAACATGCACATTTAAGAGATTCTAAGCATGCAAATTTAGAAGAAAAATTTGGAAATTAACAAGAATAAACTTGTATATTTATGAGAAAGAAATGTAAGTATAAACATGGTAATTTTCTTGTTTATCATTCATTTTTAATTAAAAAAACTTCCATGAAGGAGTCAATGCCCCATCTCATTCCATCACACTGGAAAAATTCAAAATCTAGATAAGTCATTTTTTCTTAAAATAAGTGCATTTGTTCTTGAATTGAGGAGGTAAAATATACACTTATGCCAGTGGAAGAGGGCAATTTACATTTAAAATAAGAAAAAGCAATTGCATTGTCTTATTTTAAGTGCAATTTATCTAAATATCTTATTTTAGGAGTAAAAATACCAATTCCATTGGCAAATTATCTCATTGACCTACTCAAATTAAGGGTAAATACAATTAATTTAAGATATTTTTTTACTTATTCCCAGATAATTTTTCCAGTGCACTAAAGCCCCCAATAACAATGCATTGCATGTGCTTTATGTTGCATACTTTAACGTGTTTTATATTGCTCAACCTGCGCTAATCAGTGCAGCAGAGCTAAAAGAACAAACACAACTTTCACCTATGAAAATGTAGCAATGAAACATAGAAAAAGTATCAAACAGGTCTTAATAGTTTCACTTTGAGTAAAGACTGAAACCAGTTAAGATGGTGAAACCAGTGGACGGTCTACAGGAAAGGAATTTATCACTACTTAAAAGAACGTCCAAAAAAAAAAATAATGAACTATCCCTTTAAGTTTGGATTCAGCTCTACCTTGTTTAAAAAAGACCGAATGCTCTTCTGTGGTGATGATGTTGGCAATAAATGAGTTCCTGTCATTGTTGTGTGTGTTTTTACACTGGAAAAACGATCTAGAAATAAGTAAAAATAAAAATAACAAAAAATTCTTGTTCTATTGGCAAAATGTCTGTTTTACCTCCTCAATCCAAGAACAAATGCACTAATTTTAAGAAAAAAATTACTAGTATATTACTATCTAGATAAAAAAATTTTCCAGTGTATGAAAGACTATTTGGAGTCAAATTCTCTTAAGAAGCTTCAGTTGCCTTGATTCAATCCAAACTAAAAACCCTTTCATGAAAATCAACTATATTGCTCAGCTTTCAGACAGATGTTGATATTGATGCCCCCTAAAGGGCAGGACAGACATGAGAAATAAAGTTAACAGTAACCTACCTGGATCAGTTGTTAGCCTGAGTGAAAGATGGGAGAAAAGACTTGATGTTCATGGAGTCGCGTCACTGAAAACATGCCAGTGGAGCTCCAGCAAACTATTGAGTGGAATAAAGTCAGCAGAGAGGAGAATCCCTCTCTGTCAGCGTGTCTCTCTGACCGGCTATCGCTCTCATCATCAGGTCAATAATAGGCATACCAGCACAGAGCGGAGAGCTACAGGCAGGAGGCCGTTTCTATCAGCAGCCGCAGATAGGAAGTGTCTCACCGCGCTCTGCTAACAGGTCAATACCTATAGGCCTGGGCGGCCATATTATTAGGAGATTACAGAGGGGAAAGGGTTACAGCATTGGTAGATATCACATCAGACATTCATGGAGAAAAACAAACAATTGACTCTTTTATAAATTATTTAAGCGATAATAATTCCAAAAAAGTAAAAAAAAAAAACAATGCACTAGACTTTGTTTCCAAGTTTGAAGACATTTCACTTCCATCCAGGAAGCTTTTTCAATTCAAAAGGTCAGAAATAGTGTTGAGTTCCAGGTTTTATCCAGCAGCCCAACAAAGGCTTGTTTTGGTTTAGAAAACATGCAAATAGTATTAACCTAGGTGCTGTTTACCGCCCGCCAAAAAAGAGATAAATAAAAAGAAAAAAGGAAAAGAAAGAAAGAAGGTTTTATGGTGGCAGCGGATTGAGCGTCATGTCTGCTAGGAAGTGTGTTGGTGGTGGGCGTGAACGCAGGGAGGATCCATCACTCACCTTCTGGCTCACCCTATGATGGGGATGAAGTCTGGAGGAGAACTGACGGTTTCCTCCTGTGAACCCCCTTTATACCAAAACGCTGCCAATACGCCATTATACAGTAGCTGGAAGTTAGAAACACGTTCAGCGCTCGTCTGGAACACGGCAGATACGTTGGAGAGAAGTTCTTTATAAGTTAGGTATCAGTTAGGCACAAGTTACTCAGAGGTTTTGTAAAAGCTAGATGCTAAGACCTATGGAGATCAGTGCCTCCAAATCCGAGGCCATGGTCTTGAGCCAGAAAAGGGTAGAGTGCCTTCTCCGGGTCAGGGGGAATGTCCTGCCCCAAGTGGAGGAGTTTAAGTATCTTGGGATCTTGTTCACGATTGAGGGAAGAAGGGAGCGGGAGATCGACAGGCGGATTGGCGCAGCATCTGCCGTGAAGCGGGCGCTGTACCGGTCCGTCGTGGTGAAGAGAGAGCTGAGTCAAAAAGCGAAGCTCTGGATTTACCGGTCGATCTACGTTCCTACCCTCATCTATGGTCATGAACTCTGGGTCATGACCGAAAGAACGAGATCGCGGATACAAGCGGCCGAAATGGGTTTCCTCCGTAGGGTGGCTGGGCTCTCCCTTAGAGATAGGGTGAGAAGCTCGGTCATCCGGGAGGGACTCGGAGTAGAGCCGCTGCTCCTCCACGTCGAGAGGAGCCAGTTGAGGTGGCTCGGGCATCTGGTTAGGATCCCTCCTGGACGCCTCCCTGGTGAGGTGTTCCGGGCACGTCCCACCGGGGGGAGGCCCCGGGGAAGACCCAGGACACGCTGGAGAGACTATGTTTCTCGGCTGGCCTGGTAATGCCTTGGGGTTCCTCCTGAAGAGCTGGAAGAAGTGGCTGGGGAGAGGGAAGTCTGGGCCTCCCTTCTTAAGCTGCTGCCCCCGCGACCCGACCCCGGATAAGCGGAGGAAGATGGATGGATGGATGGATGGATGGATAAGACCTATGATTAACTTACACCTAACATATGTCAATGATCAGATAACTTACCTGTAACTTATGGCCCACGTATGAGCATACGCCGGCATACGTCAAGAAAATTTGAGCATGCTCAAAACTTCTCGTGGTACTCGCTGTATGTCGACGTGTTCCAGCATGTTTCAGCGTATTTCATCGTGCTCAAAACTTATACAGAACGTACTCATAACTTATCCAATTTTGCCAGATTTTCTGTAAATCTGACAGGTGTGACGGGGGCAATAGCAATAGCAATGGAAACTGGGACTGTTCTTAGCCTTATTAGGGTGTGCTCAGACCAAAAACGGAGTACACGTTAATTTCCGTGTGCACCACAGGGAGTTCACCACTGTGCATTTCAGGTGGTTTCCTCTCTGCAGCACTGGTGCTTCTCTACCTGGCTATATACAGCTGCTAGTCATACAAAGCAAAGCAAAGGGTTAACACTGAATCACAGCAGCTCCACTGTCCAACCCTGGTTTATTCCATCCAAACCAGAGAGCGCTCTCTGCAGGCGGCAACAGGAGGCACAGCTTGCCAGAATTTCCCTTCTGTGGTGCTCTAATCGCCTGGGGGAGGAAAGAGCCTCACCTACCCCCAGCAAAAAATAGAGAGCTCCTCCAATCAGGATTTGGATGAATTTGGATGAATTTGTTGCTGAGCAAAAGCTAGAAATGTGAGCATGTCAGGAGGTACGAAGCGATGCATTGAAATAGTCTCCCTTTCTTTAATCTAAGTCTAATCTAATCTAAGTCTGAGCCCTACCAAAACCAACCATCCATGCTTGGTCCTTTTCTAGTCTAGCAGAGTCTGACCTTGGACTGAATTTGCAGGGACGTCTGTTCCTTCACTATTTTTCATTTTAGGAATATTCTTTCTCATTATAGATCAACCAGCACTCAATACATTATTAATCTTTCCAGATTAATGGGCAGTAAGTGCTGCTTCTCTGAGGACCCTGGGATGTCTGTTCTTTTCTGCTTGACGTTGAGTTTTAACTCCACAGCAGCAAACTGCTAAAACTGATAACACTGATGATAAAAAAACAAATTAAGCGTCTTTAATTAGCTGTACCTCTCTGCTGCCAGGTTTTTAGTTTTTGTTCACACAGCATTTTCCTTTTGTTTGATGAAAAATACAACGTAGAGCCTGTTTAGCGGATTGTATGACTGAAGCACGATTTTTATGAGTTTAAAACATTATTACTCTTAATGAACCCTGGGACAGTTTAGAGGAGTGCCGTCTTTTAGTAATATGGTCTTGGGTTTAAACTATTGATCTCTATTCACTGCATTGCTGATTGCCCAAAAAAGTGAAGCCACCGTCCGCCATGCTGGTACTCCCATCTCCCACGGAGATGTGCAGTAGAGAAGCCTACATGTGCAGCAAAAACAAGCAGTGCTTAATTGATCCTTGACTTATTTACTGTTACAGGTAGGAGCTTTGGCCAAAGAGTAGATGTTGGGGCCGGTATGATCAAAGGAGGGCCGGCCCTCTCAAGCTGAAATTAGGACTGGCCCATCGTGCAAATGCCCGGAATCACAGATTACCAGTCTGAGCCTGTATTTCACTGTCACAAGTACAGAGAATCTAAATGAACCCTCTGCATTTAACCCAAAACCCTTGGGCCAACCTATTCTCAAATCGTACGAAAAGTTATGCACCGTAATTTCGTATGTTTTGGACATTTTTTTCGCCGTATGCGCATCTGACGCACCATTCACGAATATAGAATATAAATTACAATTACCCCTAACCCTGACCCTAAGATATAAAACAGCAAGCAACGTAGTTAGAGACATGAATAAGTGATGATTGCACTGTTTTCCCCAGTTTTACGTCCGTCCGCGGATCTGCTTTTTTTTTCTGTCTGCCAGCGCATGCGCACTGATGTGGTTTTTTGAGGAAAAAACGTCCAAAACGTACGAAATAGTGTGCATAACTTTTCGTACGATTTCATACGCACTGATAATGAGAATATGTTGCTTGGGCAGCATGTTGGCCTCATAGGTTGCTCACACAAAACTTAAATGATCGCTTTTAATTGATAAAGCTTTGGTCGCCTTAATTGGCTGATTGATGGAATAATTGACTAATTGACCAATTGATTGGTTAACTGACTGATTGGTTAATTGATTGACTGACTGACAATTGATTGACTGATTAATAGACTGGCCGATTGATTGACCAATTGGTTGATTAGTGAACAAACTCCATCCTGAAGACCAAGGAACACAGCAGACAGGTCAGGGAGAAGGCTGTGAGACATCATCCCGAGCTTAAAATATCTGACAGAGCTCTGTCCAAACCGCCCATTGAAAATGGAGAAAGTCTAATGCAACCTCAAACCATCCAAGACATGGAAACCTCCTGAACTAACTGTTGGGTGTTAATTAGAGGGAATGCAAAGACAAGGTTACCAACCAGTCCGGAATCTTTGTGCCAACATCTGTACAACACAACTCACATTTTCAGGGACATCTTTGGATTTTCTTACATAAAAAACCAAAATGTTATGCAGCATCATCAGTGATCGTAACGGCATTGTTGAGATCGTTCTGAAGCCTTTTGGATAAGGAGGTGAAACATCTCCAGGAAACAGGAGAATAACTCATAAATTCAACGTAAAAACTTATATTTCTAGTTTTAAGACGATATGTAGGAAGAAATGTTTGCTGCAAAAAAAGCAGCAAAAAAATAGTTTGAATGTTAGACACCATGCTTCAGGAAGAACCTTCTATTGTCATCACCATGAGTGTAGATAGAGTTTTTCTATTACTGGCAGTCTCTTCAGCTCCTAAACTATCTGTACTAAAAATAAAACTCCTCCGTTGAGGCTGGAGGACCATGTGTGTCCAGGGCAGATTCTTTATCGGACTCAGGGTGGCTCTAAGCTGAAGCTTATCTCCACTGTTAGAACGTGAATCTATTCTTACTAGTAGCCATTTTAGAAACACCAATGCTGCTTGTGAAAATGATCCAAAGGTGAAATAAAGCAGTGAATTCCAGCACTTTAGAGCAGAAAATAACTATTTAAGAGAGAGTGTAGGACATTTAAAAACCTATTTCAATGTCTAAACAATTAATTAAAGCAGTGTTGGGCCTTTCCACTAATTAAAGAATAAATTAATTGAAATTTGCTCAAGATTACGTAAATGACATCTTGCCCATCACTCCTCCCCCGAGGCTAACAAACTCATAGAGCATAAAGAACTGGAGATAACTTATTAAATCTGATTGCCATGGGACTAAAGATCTGAAGATATGCTGCTATTAAAAGCTGGGAATCTGTGAGAGGTTTATTAGGATGATGAGTAATGAGACGCTTCTCTGCAATCACCCAGGAGAAGAAATTTGTTCCTTTCTCCCTGAGGGAGAAGCTTATCAAATCTTCCGTTTTCACCCTACAGCACATGGAGCATTTAGTGTGAAATTGACTGCAG